AACTTGTCATTGGTGTAATTTCTTTGATTTGGGGCAGTAATGGGACAGTGCAAGGTTTCCTCCCTAGGTGGGGAATAGCTGTTCAGAGGAACACTTACTGACCAGCAGGGACTGAAGACAGCCACTTCTGAACAAATTTATTTAATCCAGCTACTACCTGAAAAATGCCTGGCAAACAGAATCTTATCTGTTGTTCTTTAACAAATATTGTAAGGCTTAAAGATTTCATCAACAAAGCAAAAGTTTAGTGCAGAGTTCTACCTTACAGTTTCTATCTGGTTAAGATCATAACAAAAGGAAAGTGAACTTACTGGTCTCAGCTGGATACACATGAGTGCTGAACAAACAGAAGGTAATGACAATAGAGAAAGGGGAAGAATGTTCCTCTGTTGCCATTTTTATTGTCCTTGTTATGAATTTTTATTGAAAGGTAAGTTACAGAGTTAAATTTTAGCAGTGGTGAATGCATTGTTTCTTCTGTCGCTCCCTGAGTTTTATTCATTAACTGATACAGAGAACTGGTCTTTTCCCCACCATTATTTACCTGTAGTTTCTGACAATGTCCCTCATAGACCTCACTGAGCATAGAAATAAGAGGTGTATTTGAACAGCACTAATACAAACTTGGCTCCTAATAAGGGACAGTACAATACATATTAAATACAAGTTAGAAAGGCATGCTGTAGTCTTCCAGAGCTACTTACTTTTAAATGGCTTTTATTGGTTTTGAAGCTATTGAGAGAAGTGAGGAAGACAGATTATTTCTTCTTACTTATAAGTGAAAACTGAGAGTTAATTTGTCCAAAAGTTTCTAAAAACAAGGCCTTCATAAATGCAGATATGTGACAACTGTATAAAAGATATTACAAAGCCTTTGCACCAAATAGTTTCCTATAGATGCCAGTAAGAATATTTTTGTTTAAAAATAAAACCTGTTTGTATTACAAGCATCTCTGGGGAAAGAAGTACATGTATTTTTGCCTCTGACAGTTCTCCAATTACCATTTCTTCTTCTCTTTTCTGAATTTTATTGAAGATGCATTCCTTTCACTGAGGTTTCCATGGTTATTGAGGTCATGAAGATTTCATATTAGCCCAGGCAGCCACTCTTTCACTGTGAGTCTCTGAATGCAGGTGTTGCTGCTTCTTGTTTTGTAGGAAATTCATCTGGCAAGCTCTCATCACCAAATTGGACTTTATTTCCCATCTTGATTTGTGTATTTTTCTCTCTAAATTCAAATGTTTTTCCTGCACTCACCTTTCTGTAAGCATATAACAGCTCAGGACTTGATTGACATTATCTGTCTTGGGGGTGAACATTGCAGGTAAAAGGTGTAATGGTTCAACACATCTACTTGTAGGTCACTGTTTCTAGCCTTATGTCCCAAATGTCTCCACTTTGCTGTTCAGCATTTCCCCTTGTATCTGGATCACTGTAAAGCCTTTGCTTCCCCCAGGAGAACAGGCAGGGTGTGAGCAATGAAGTTCAACTTCTGTGTTATCCTGAGAAAACAGAACAGACTTTCCCTTCATTTTTTAGCTTCCAGCTGACATTGCCTCTTATGGGAACAACAGTTTCTGGCTACTGCAGGCCAGCTAGCATGGCTTATGTAGGGAATGTGTTCTTCCACAGCTAGGGATTAATGTCTGTGGATATAAAAATTCCTCAGAACATTAAATGGTCTTTTCTTCTCAGCATCAAGTGCCCAGGTTCTGAAATTAGGATGCTACACAGACAGTTTATGGAGCTTGGAGGATTCTCTTGTTAAAATACTGCCATCACATCCAAAAGAAAGGGTTATCATTATTCCCTTTTGTCACTGGAACTCTTCCTCTCACTGGGTACTGCTACATCATCTCTGCCAGAAAAACATACCTTGGCAATTAGAAACAAAGAGATTTATCTCTTAGTCTGGGGGAAGAGGCGGGGTGTAAGCTCTGCAGTATCTGCTACTGTCTCCTGTGTTAATTTAGCTGTTCTGAAGACTAAGTTCTGGTGGCAGATCCCCTACTCCAACTAATCCACTAGTTATGCTGGAGAGGTGGTACATTTTTGAAGAGGAAATCAGAGATATCACCAACAAGTGCATCTCATGTTGTACTACTTTGCCAAAAGATAGTGCATCCCTTTGTGGTTTGAAAGATGGAAAAATAAGTTTCAGTCTTTTACATGATAAAATGCAAACAACATATTTCCACATGCCACTTTTCTTCATGGCTACTCGGTTCTACCCCATCAGAGCCACAAGAGTTTTGTGAGAACGTTTTCCTGAAATCCCAATGCACACTGCCAATAGGAAATGAGGGAAAAGAACAAACTTTTTTCTTCACATTGGTGTAGTAAAGCCAATGCATACATTCTCTCAGCAGTTTCTTTTACTTCTGTTTCCAGTGCATTTTTATAGATGTTTCCAGGATATGTATTCTGGTGTGACATCAAAAGAAACCTGTCTTGGCAAAAGAGCAACAGAGAAAACTCATGGTTTTTTAATATAAATAGTAAAAAAGCTGTAATTAAATAGCTATAAAAAGAGTAACTGGCTTTACTCTGTGTGTCCCCTGCCCTTTGTGCTAGATGTTCTTAGACTAAACTGTTGGGGGGTTTTCCCCATCGGAGCATCAGAGGGCTACTGTAATAAAAAGGTCAATGAGAGCAGCATTGCATTGTGCCTCCAGATGAGACAAGCAATGGAAACAAACTGCATCCAAACAGCTAAATCTGGGGCTTAAGCCAGTCTCTGTACACTGAATAATAGCTATCCTGAGCAAATAGACGTCTTATAACATTTCCTGAACATCAACAAACTGTGGCTCTGAGAGAGCTCTTGTATTTTTTCTTTTTCTTTTTCTTTTTCTTTTTCTTTTTCTTTTTCTTTTTCTTTTTCTTTTTCTTTTTCTTTTTCTTTTTCTTTCTCTTTCTCTCTCTCTCTCTTTCTCTTTCTTTCTTTCTTTCTTTCTTTCCTTCTTTCTTTTCTTTCTTTTTCTTTCTTTCTTTCTTTCTTTCTTTCTTTCTTTCTTTCTTTCTTTCTTTCTTTCCTTTCTTTCTTTCTTTCTTTCTTTCTTTCTTTTCTTTCTTTTTCTTTCTTTCTTTCTTTCTTTCTTTCTTTCTTTCTTTCTTTCTTTCTTTCTTTCTTTCTTTCTTTCTTTCTTTCTTTTCTTTCTTTCTTTCTTTCTTTCTTTCTTTCTTTCTTTCTTTCTTTCTTTCTTTCTTTCTTTCTTTCTTTCTCTTTCTTTCCTTTCTTTCTTTCTTTCCTTTCTTTCTTTTTCTCCTTCTTTCACTCCTTTCTTCCTCTCCTTCTTTCTCTCCTTATTCCCTTCTTTCTTGCCTCCTTTTTGTCTTGAATGGATTGAGTCAAGGGCCCTGTATTTAGAGTGGTCTTCTTCCCACTCCTAGTTATGCAACTTCTCAGAAAGTTCTCCCCTCATGTTCTCAATGATAGTAAACCATCATATTTAGCGTAACAATCTATCTCTACAACTTTGATAAACCATGAAGAACTAGAGACAGGTTCTCAGTTTTCTGTTAAATCTGATCTGAATTTCAGTGCACCTCTGTGTTTGTGGGAGCTCTGAAGAATGGCATTGCTTCTCAAGGCAACAGCTTAAGACCACATGAACACTGGCTATGGTGGGGTGTTTTTAGTTTTGTCCCTGCAATATTGAGTGCAACTTCACCATGCAAATAGGTGTTCCAACAAAGTTGGAACAAAGTCCTTAAAGCTGCACTGCTGAGTTTTTCCTGGCTGTGTTACTATGGATTAAAATTTCAGTCTTTGCTACCAGTTTCCAAATAGACCAAAATATAGCCTTATTTGTAAAATCTATTGTAGTGCATAAAACTTGAATAACTCACAGATGTGGAAGACCTCAGAGAGCTTCAAATTCTTGCATTATCAGCTCAAAACCAACCTCTAGAAACCCTCAGAACTCCACTCTGATTATTTTAATCACTAGGGTGGTGTCCAGGGGTAGACATGGCTGCACACCATAAGGCAAATCTTAGGGCCTGTTCTGCACTGGGAGATGCTGCTATCTTGGCAAGAAAGAGACTGCTGTTGACAGCAAATATTCAAGGGCTTTCCTCTATTTGAAACATCTTTTTTTGAACTATTTTTTAATGCTACCATTTAGGCAGGTATTTGCAACAAGGAAGCCTCTTCTAAAAGGCTTCTAGAAGAAATAGTGCCCAGAATAAAAGGAATTGGTTTAGTATATGAAAACACAGAAGCAACATGTGTGTGTTTTTAAGGCTGCAATGTCTCCAGGATAATAGCAGGAAAAGATGATTTTACATCTCCATGCAGAAGCATGCCTAGTTTCACTTTTTGTGCTCTGAACAATATGGAAAAGTTCTGACTGCTGATTGTTGCTAACTCTTGCTTGCATTACTATAGACAAGAATTAACTACTTACACCCACAGTTTTACAGTTTTGGTCATTTCAATGACATGACTTGCAGCTGGTTGAACACCTCTGTTGGATCTTTGACAGATAAGTCTTCTTTAAAGAGACTAAAAAGTTTTTATAGTGCCTTGTGAGCCAGTACATCACTATTTCTGAAGCTTTTCTGTAGACAAGATTCCCTTTGAAGTCAATGGGAGTTCTCTCTGAATAAGAGCTTTAGGATTTGGGCCTCAGGACACAAATGCTGTGATCAATCTTTTGAGCATAGTGAGTAACATTTTCTTGGCTTTCAGAACTACACTAAGCCAAACAGTAGCCCCAGGGATTCAAAATAGGTTAAATGAGAGATCTGCTTTCTTTCAACCTACATCTTTCTTTAGCTTTTAAATCAGCATAGTCCTCATGCCTAGTACTGACCTGCCAAAAACACCCTCCAACAATAAGAGCAGATGTTTTAATAGTTAGTTTTATAGTCAAACCTATCATGGCATGAGATACTATGAAATAGAGTTGTGTGCAATAAAAAACAAACATACTTGATGTGGACTGACCTGTTTAGAAGTTGAGACATGAACATACAGTCTGGAACAAAAGACTTGAAGACTGAGAACTTTATTAATTATGTTACAGGGAGGTCTGCAGGCACTGATTTCAATCAGACCATCATAGTACAAAACACCGTGCAAACATCAGAATTAGTGATACAAAAGTCAGCAATACAAGTAGGCAAGACTGATACTCTCTGTCTCCTATTCTTTATAATTCCTCTGACTTTGTACATGGAAAGGTCAGGTAGCAAGGGACTGTGTGACTTTCCAATACCTCTCACAAAGTCCAAAATGAAACCTGTCTGCCAACCTCCTGTCATTGTCAAGACTACTCTCCTTCTTTCACACAATTATAAGTGTATTACTGGACCTAAAACATCCTAACTTCCCATGCCCATCCCAGCCCTGGCTGAACTCCAGCATCCCCAGCCACTTTCCCCCATGAAACTGAAGGTCCAGGCTCTTCCTGTGGCCTGTAATGAAGGCTTTGCCTGTGCTGATTTCAGTGGTAACAAGTCTAGAACTGGTGATAAATCCCACCCTGATACAGGCAGCTGCCAGAGAGTGCAGCAGTGCATCAGGAGTGTGGGGCAGAGCAAAACTCTCTTGCATTTTCAACCCTCATAAGATATCACACAACTGTATTAACAAAGTAACACATAAGAGAACCGAGAGAAAAGACCAAATTAAACAAGAGAAAAAGGTAGCACATTCTTATTTCCTAAACAGAGCTAAGAGCCTGAACATTTTACACATTTACTGTGTGATGTTATGGGTGGAGGTGCACAGATGAACAGCCCAGTTCTTTCCCTGGAGTCCTGGCTCTGATGCTGGCCCATTGGCATTTTGGTGGAGGAAGTCCTGCAACTTCTGTTTCTGCCCACAGCCAGTGGAGAGTCTCAAGCAGCTGTAAATATCATGTTGGTATGCATTACAGTGGGAAAACACTAAAGTCTTCAGGTGTGAATATATATGGGACTATCACTAAAAGACGAGTGTTTTGGAGAAGCAACTTCAAAGATGATGAAGGAAACACAAAAAGCAATGTATTACCTGGAATATGAGCAACTGTACTCCCCAGCACAAGCTCAGCAGCTAGAAGAATTTCTCCACTGTATCAATAAGACTGAGGTCTCCACTATACACCAGATATGACCTGGCACAGCTGAACCTACTTAAAATTTTAAACAAGTAAAGCCTTGTCCAGCCTACAACTCACAGCAGTGATGTAAACAGCCTGCTGATTCAGTTGTATATGTAGATGGTTCCCAGTGTTCGCTCTTTGATTTCTTCTTTTAATTTTATTTTATTTTCTTTTTTACATCTGGATAATGAGTTCCCTTCCCTCTCCCTCCTTTAGTTAGGTGAAAAAACCTCTACTTGCCCAGTTTCTTCAATGCCTTGGCTCTATGTCCCTGTGTAAAATCCAGGTGCTACACTGGTATCTCCCTGGAGATTTCTCCTTTTGTTCCAGTCCCTTACCTTGGTTCCTGATTTCGAGGGAAGAGGCAAAACAGCCAGCAGGGAGAGACATGTGATAAAAGACAGCTCAAGACCACTCAGCAGTTCAATCTATTCACTTCAAAGAAGAGGACAAAGTAACATATTTTCCCTTCAAATTTAGAAACAAAGAGGGGTTTTATTTTCACCAAAATGGCTCCCTAAGTCTCCTCTCCCTTTCCCTAGGGTAGGGGTCCCTGCTCATCCCCAGGGAGCACAGAGAAGCAAGGCACTCAGTCACCACCATGGGGAAATGGGTGGCCATGGGCTGGCAAGTCATGAAGGGCACAGGCAAGGGAACAGCCTTGTGTGGCACTGCTCAGCCTCCTCTGGGGTGACCCACGGGGCAGCTGCTGAATGAGCCTGTCAGATCACTCTGTTTGATACTAGCTGGCAGAGTGCACTCAGGTTTTATGATCCTACAGAGTCTGAGATTGGTTCTTGACAATTCTTTCACCCCCAGTTTGGAAACTCTCTGGGCAATAAAATTTTCTTACTTATGCCCAAAGAGAAGACTGCATCTTGCTTTTGTCTGTCCTGTTGGCACATATCTTTCTTGGGGATGGGTATAAGAAAACGGAACTGGAAGAGCTGCTGTACAATAAATTCAGACACATTCACAATCACACTTTTTTATTGCCAGAATACCCTCTTTCCTTGTGTTTGAGGACTGCAAAAAAATATATATATTATAAAAGAATGCATGTTAATCTCCTATCTGCACTATGAATTGTAACAGTGTTGTATGTGGAAATCCTGATTTGACACAGCAACAGCTGAGGCAGCTTCTGGGGAAACACCACTAGAAAAAAATTGTGCTCTCTCTGGAGCACTGGGAGAAATAAGCATCTTCTTGCTGATATCCAAGATGAGACTGACAAGGACTCCAAGACTTCATATGAATGAAACTTGTACTCACACCACCTTTGTCAGAAATCCAGTATAACACACTTCCACATCAACTGGAAGAAAGATTCATCTAGAGAAAATAATTTCAGCTTTGAAAGAGAGACTGAAGAAGACTAATAAAAATGTATTTTCTTAATAGGCTTTTGTTGTTCTTGCTTTAATCTTCAAAAACTTGTGTCTTCCTCCAGTGTAACACTAACGATAGCCTTTGTTTTTCCTTCTTACTGACAATGAAGTTGGAACACAGTAAATGTGTTAACCAGAGTGGATTGCTGACTCTTAGGAGCAGTGCAACAGTGTTTCCCAGATGCAGCTTAGAACTATGCAAATGTTGTCTACCTGCATTAATTCTTCATTGTCTTGCTGTTTAAGCAAGTATCAGTGAAAGACAATTTGGGTTAGAGAAGTAAAAAGTGAATTAAAAAATGGTCTCTTTCAGACTGCTTCCATCACCTCATTTAGATCATGCTAATCTCTTCTTTGTGAAGCACAGCAGGTCCCTTTTAGCTGTACATGAAAACAGTTTGTCTGAGCTTCCAGCCCAAAGGAAACAAATGGGTAGGACAAAAGACCTGATATGAGGAGGGGTCCTAGGCTCTGTTCTCAGTACTGCCACTAGAAAGGCATGACAGGGAGCAAGGCACCCAGTGCCTCTCTGTGTCAGTCTTCCCTGGATTTCATCAGCTGATGAAGGCTGTGGATGACACAGAGCTGGATTATGCAGATGGAACAAAGGAGAGGTAGAACATAGTACAGGAGGAGAGCAAACTTGATAGAGAGTAGTAAAACAGAAATGGGGTGGAGTACAAAGTACAAGATGCTACTCTTGAGGAGCAAAACACAGAATCTCCTACAAGCTGAGACCTCATCAGCTGCTGGTCATGTGTCAGAAGATTATGTACAACAAGAACTCAAAGGGGAAGAACTTGAACTCAAGTTAAAGAACAGCAGTACAGTAACAGAAAATTATCAAACTAGTAATAAGAAGAGCTGTGAGGTCTGTGGTGATCTGCTAGCAAGTAAAGCTGAGACATCCATTCTACACTAATATCTTTCAAAAAATGGTGCTTCATCAGTTTATGAAAATCAAATTCTCATTCTATGATCCTAAGTTTTGAAGAGTTGAAATTACTGACCTTCAAACTGGTTACAAAAGGGGGAACGGTTTCTTGCCTATAGTAACCAAAATGTTCTCAAGGATTAGGTTGACTATGGAAATGGTTGGAGTGTCCCCTGCACATTTAAAGTGAAAGCAAAGTACCATGTCAGTGGATCAGTAATATAAACTGGAACTAACTGGTCCAATTCAGTTCAATTGCTTATGGTAAACAAAACACAAATACTTGAAAAACACTAGAAATTATAGAAAGTTTATTTGATCTATTATATTATTTCAAAAGGTGTAACCTACCTGGTTCCTTATTAGTTAAACACAAAAAAAAGACTACAGTTAAATATAAAAGCTTAATCTTACTAGTATTAGTCACCTTAAGATACTCACTTACCTGCTTATTACATGTTTTCACAGGTCTCATTTTCTCTTAGTTTTTCAAAAGCAGTCATAAAGTTATTTCTTGACTTTATTAACATTAGTTTTCCTGCTATTTTCCAACAAAATTCCATGATTTCTTGTCCAGACCTTACAAAGTATTTTTGTCAAGAGCTCTTTTTCCAGGTGTGAATATATTTTTATATGTATATACACACACACAGAACCCAAGGAAACGTAACTGCACAGATTTCATTTTAATTATAAGCACCAAGTCACAAGCTGAGCTTCGTTATACTTTAAAATACATATTTCAACTATCTGTCAAGCCATGGTGCTGTTACCAAAAGGCATCTCAGACATTAAAAGGGAAGGTCTTGGTTTCATCTACTACCAGCTTTGTACGGTAATCTCTGTAGTGAAGGGTATCTGTTACTGGATCTAGAGCAACAGCAAGCATGTCCTCCATCTCCTCCTGAGTAAAGGGCTCACCTGAAAGACAGCATAGAATAACATTTTATCTTGGTAAGTATTCTTTCAAGGACTGGAAAATTCTGCTGCCTTTCACTTGAAAGGATCTCCTTTTGATTCTCACACAGAGGAGAAAAAGAATAAAACTAAGTATCTTTTTCCTTCCCTTTTGGCAATATAAGTCCTACACACCAAGTGAGCCAGTCTAAAAGGAAGGAGACAGAGGATCTGGATCTATCTGATCTTCTAGTTCACAGACACCAAAACAGCCTGTTCCTCTCTACCATGGATTTTGAAACAACCATTTTTGTCATTTTTTTCTCCTGTGTACATTAGAATTTTTATCTCTCATTTGGCTCTCCTTGCACTGGTATTCACATCATGAAAGAATTCTGGTTTTTCTCTTCAAAGCTGTTGATGGCTTACTTCTTCCCTCAGAGAACCAGGTTACCATCTGATGCTAGGTCTTGCACAAAACCTGCACACCCTTTTGAACATGAGGCAGGTGGGCATGAGTCAGCCACACAAGAAAAGCAGGCTCTTCAAGAGATATTGAGGATTACAGAATGTACCACTTAAATTGAATCTTTGAATCTCTTTGTTTGCATGTGGCTCTAGAATTAAGATCAAGATAATGTAAGAATGAATGAGCACTGAAACCACTGAAACATCCGGAAATCTAAGCTGCAATTTTACAGGACAGCAAAAGAGTCACATACTTAGTGAGCACAGAGGTGTGCACAGAATCACAAAATAACCAGACATGACTGAATTACAAATAAGGATAAGAATAAAAATGCCTATTTTATAATATCTGCAAGCAGGCAGATAAATGCTCTTTCCCTGCATCACTGACCGGTGAAATGTCCTAGTCTGCAGTCACTCATCACAGCAACAGCATTGTTTGAAGACAATGTATCTACTCCTGCAGATTTTGGCCTGCAGGGTAAGGACCTCAAGTTGCCATATACATATGTAATGCTTTTTACTTAAATACTGATATTACAGAAGTCATGTTACCTTCTTTGGTCAAATGTTTGACCAAGTCGTCTTTGGTAATATATCCACACTTATTCTCATCCAAAGCCTTTAAAGAAAAAGAATAAATCTTGTGGTTTTAAGCTTATTGTATCAAAAAGCAGCAACTTATTTTCAGCAACTAGGTACTTGAATATTTACAGAGATACAGACCTCAAATGCATGTAGAATAACATCTTCTGGAATAGGTCGGAATCTGAAACCATGGAATCAGAAAAGTAAAGTTACTGTTTGCCAGTGTTCTGAAAAAACTAAATACAAGTACTAAGGGAAAGGAAGGCTTATATTCCATGAGAATTTATTAAGTTTTGTGTATCAAACATTTAATTGCAGCCTGACCTTTTGGAACTGTCCATATATTTAACTCTTACATCTTTTGTTGTACTACTGTTTAATTTCCCTTGTGCTGAGGAGCCAGATGAATGTCTTCTGCATGTTTGGGCTGGCTTGGTGGGTTAGTAGGAATCAGCAATAGATGAATCATTCTACAAAGCCAATGCACTGAACAGAAATGGACAAACCAAGAAAACAAAGTTTTGTCCAGGTAGGCTGGTAGCTAGGAGATCACCTAGTGGGACTTGGGCAGCCTAATGAGCTGATGATGAGCAAAGGAGGCTGGTAGCTATAAAAGGTCTGTCACTAACAATTTCAGAGAGAGGAGAGAACTGGGCACGTTTATGCATGCATATGCATGCTTGATTTCAGAGCAGGAAAGCAAGCTCAGTGCAGCAATGGAGACTTTCCATATCCGAGCAGGCTCCCACCAAACCCCCAGAATACTAAAGAGAAGGAGCTGAATCCAGGGAGGTTCTAACTGCTTGACTGTTTTGTCCAGACCCGCCTCAGTCTTTTACTATCTAAAAATCAAATGTGCTAAGAAGAAGCCTTGGATTTTATGATCCAAATCTCATGTACCCTTGCTTAAGTGAACTATGGACACAGTGCCCCAAAAGATGAAGTGGGTCTTGACAAGCCTGCACTAGCCTGGGGAAAGAGTGCAGGGGGTGGGGTTTTTGTATGTGTGTGTGTGTGTGCGTGTGTTTGAGTTTGCATGAAGGGAGTGTAGAGGAGGAGAGCACAGAGCAGCAAGGCATCATTTTGTGAAAGGGTGAACATCAGTGCAGAGCCACAGCTACTTCATGTGTAGAATACCCTCCTACCAAAGGCCCTCTGTGTGCAAAATAACTTCTCAGGATTGGACAAGACTGAGTATCTCAAAAGCCTTGGTGACCATATTTAAAATTAAACTCCTTGTAAATGATCTTGCTTTAGTGCAAAATGTCAAAGTAGCACAAGTCCCTGTGTATGTGCAAAGACTTCTATGCACCTTTGTGACCACTTTTAGGTCAGCAGTCTTTTAGAGTGCTAATTGTATACATTCAGCTGTACCTTCTCAGTAGCTGTAACTCATATGCTCAGAGAAAGCAATAGTTATGACCTTAATCTGCATACAAAACATTTCAGAGATACGCAAAGTGTGTTGAATAGCAATTCTGATTCCAACTAGAAATACAAAAGCTACATACTATCACAATTATGATTATAAGCTGGTATTATTTATATCATCAGTACAACATAATTTAATGTAGATGAACTAATTTTGAAACAAAATCTATATAGCTAATGTAAAATGAGTTTAAATGACAAAGAAGATCTATACTCCTTCCAGTTACATAAAATTTCTGTAGATATGCTTTTCAGAATCAACCCTATCAATCTGGAATAAACTACAGACACATAAAATTCACTTTCCATTACCTTCTGTCAAGTAGAACTTTTGTCATCACTGGAAGAAAATGTTCCAGATGAACAAATCCACCTGGTTCTTCTACTTCTATCTAAAAATAAAACTTAAGTGGTGCAGGGTATATGACTCATTAGCAAACTTAACCAAAAACCAGAAAATTGGGGTGATCCCTGGATTAAAATTACATCATTACAATTTGAATATTTATATCAGGTCTTTAATATCATATCTGAGTGAAAGGCTTGTGATCAAATAGAAACAGATTCAAGGAAGAGCTAATATCCCAGGGAAATACAGGTCTGCTATTAAACATTTGCAGCAACTCAATATTGCCCTCTTGTGCTTCAAAACCATTCATGCAAAGGAACCAGACACCGAGGAACTGATCTTATCTGCCCCAATAACTCAGCAGAGGTTTAAACATTCAGGCTGAAGCCATACTAGTAAAGTCTATCAGGATCTGGAGCATTCCCAAGCAGTGTAACATGAACACTCATTACAGCAAAGCATGAGCACATTCCCTTGGCATGATTTTGAACTGTGCCACCCAACATTTCCCCCAGCAGATCCTGACTTGGACCTTAAGGACTTTTCCCCAGCAGGATGCTTGGAGCAGCCCCCCTGCATGAAGCATTTACCAGGGTGGGCATGAGCTGCTCTGTGCCTGCTGGCTTCAACACCCAAGGATGTTTCTGGGCATATTTAATTGGCTAGCCTGGACATAGCTCCAGTCAAGTGCACCTTAATGATGGAATTTGTTGCTTTCATGTTTCATGAAAGAAAGTTAAAGAGAGTTGTCAGGGGAAGGATCAGAGAGGCAGGCAAACTGAGTCAGGACCAAAACAGCCATAAGGCAGCCTATAAAATGCTACCCAAAAAAGCAAACAAATTAGTTCCAAACCACTGGGGACTTGTAGCAGCATTCTCACTGCATTCCTATACTTCCACAGGAGATAAGCAACATGTCATCACTGTCATCAAACTGCTCTCTGTCATTGGGGTGCATCCCTTCCCTGAAAATTTTAAGTTTTGCTCCCAAAGGAGCCCTGTTAATTGAGCTAGCCTATTCCTGTCTGTGTTGAAACCGGATGCATGCCTTGAGGTCTCACATGGCAGCAGCAACACCTTGCTAGGCCCCCTGAGACACAGCTGAGATTGAAAGAAAACTCAAACAGGCACTGATTTGAAATCTTCTAACTGAGCCAGGAAAAACTTAGTAAGGAATCTTCCTCCTGGGAGCTGGGTCAGAGCTGGGTCAGTTCCTGATACATCCAGTTGCTTAAATGGAAAGCTGCAACTGCTGCTGCATGCTCTTTTCCAGTGCTCTGGAAGGGGTTTGGGTGCTAAGAGAAGACAGCCATCACGTCTTGCTGCTTTAGAGTGGAAACTGGCTTGAAAAAAACACATTTTCCCTTCTGTTTGGTGAGCCTAGCAGAAAGGATCTTCAGCAAGAAAATGAAGATTTGCATGCTTCATTCTAAACCAAATGGAACCTTTTACCATTACAGAATCACTTGTTTTGCTGCTTGCTTGATTGAAAAGATGTAACAAAATACCTGGCAAAGCCTTGTCCTGGGAGGTGATCAGCAACCTCAGCTTCCTCTGATGTGGAACAGCTTCCATCTCAGAGTCTCTATAGATCCAGTAGCATCTTGAACAGTTAAAATTAATCCTATTTCTAACATTTCTTACTCTTCCTCATGCGCACTCCTGTTCTACACCTCATTTCTCATTGATGTTTTTCTTTTTCTGTATTTCCTCCTCTTTTCACATTAACAGTATTTGCCTGTTCAGACTCTGTGAGTTTCACTCAATTTCTTTCTTTCAGGCACATCCACAGCTCCCATAACAACTGTATTGTAGCACCTATTATGTTTTGTATTTCTGTTCTCCCAGCCATAACACTGGGGTACTTGAAACACAAAGAAACAAAACATCTTCCAGAGTTACCAGGCAGAGCACTGTACCGAACTCCAAGCATTGCAGTAACCCTTAGGTAAGTTTCCACCATCTCTAGATTTAGCATTTAATCTTGTCTTTGTAAGCAAGCCTAGAGATATGATATTAAGTACAGAATTGAGTACAAGGCAATATAAGAAACATTATATGATAATTTATAGAGATAACATAATTATATGAATGCTGGTTTTGCAGATAGGAATAACGTGCTAGTTTAGCAATAAGGCTAATAGGAAGATGAGATGACAAAGACACAAGTAGTGAGAAACAGAAATTAAACACAGCTCACAATGAGCAAAAATGCTGAGGAAATAGCTTGGTTACAAACTGGCTAACAAATGCAATTTTTACCTTACCTAGATTAATATAAAATGGTGTTACCATTGCCAATTATAGTGAAATCTTACATAAATTATGTTTGTGATTATCATTATATATGAAGGGTTCCACAAGAAGACAGTGTTCTTCTGGTACTAAACCTATGCCAAAGTTTCATTTACAGGGTCTGTAAAACATTATTTGCTATTTATTTTCCAGTGTTTTTCATTTTGCAGTGTTATTCAAGGTTAACCATCACTCTGAATGTATTCTTTCTTCTTGCAGTATTTGTGCTTGAATATTCTTACAATTTTCATACATGTTACACTGTTGTATCTCAAGAATCTTCTACCTCATGACTACATTGCATTGTACTTTTTATGTGTTACTTATCTCACATTTTTTGAGAAATATTGAAAATTGGGGGGAAAAAAGTAAGTGGAATCTCTTCCAGAGGATGAGGCAGGCCTTAAATTCTCCTGGTTCCCCTGGACTTGAATGGGGTTGTCAAAGCATCCCCATTTCTCAAATCTGTATCTTCAGTGAGGAGTTGCACTGTTCATTTGCTGTTAAGTAAAGCCACTGTGGGACAATAAAAATATCATCTATATTAAGCACCATAATTTCTTTTTCCATTTTGCCTTGTTTATCAGTGGGAGCTGGGACAATCTGGTTCTGAGAGTACAGAACCAGAGCAGACGGACTGCAGAATTGTGTTAAAAGAGCTTTCTCCTCTAGTGGTTCTCTGCACTTCCTCATCTGAAGCAGCTCCATCATTTTCACAAGACTTAGTACAAGAATTCTCACACTAAATTCAGATCTACAAGAGGCCAGACAAGCCTGGTGAGGGGAGACTACTACTGCAACTATCCAAATTTTTGTTGGAGCAGGAAGAAAACAGTAGGAGACATAGATTCCCAGTATCCTGACCTACACATGAAAAAGAGAAAAATCCTTACCCCACCTCTCAGCTCAGGCACTGTCCACTCCTTAAAGCAGCATGCCCATTTGCAAAAAGAATGTGAAGTCTTTTTCCCACTTCTTTGTCCCATTTATTAATCACACCATGCCAAGGCACCAGCACACCACTTTTCTATTACAAACGTGATGTAAGGAGACAAAAATTAGTGTAGAAAAAGACTGTGGAGAAGTGTAATTAATTTCTTTACCTTACCACTGTCTATCACTGGGAGAGTGAGAGGACCACTAGGTCTTGTGATGTTTTATGTCATGAAGCCTGATTTACAAGCTTAAGCAATCAAGTAAGAAAAGATTCTCACCTATAACTCAGAAATCTCCAGGCTGAGAAAGACCACATGAAGGACAGAATGTTGAAAGGTCTGGCTATAAGATAGCAATAACAGGGCCTAGATCAAAAAATGGCAGGCTTTCCCTCTGGGTATTTTTGGAATGTGATGTATAATTTTAACACCTGCTCAAGAACTGATTTTTACTACATAACCCTGCAACATGTTTCGTGTTTCCATGGCATGTCCAGAAGAGTGAGATGATTAAAATTTGGATATCTGACTGAGGTTTAGGACATTCTTTTTTATCTGTCAGTTTTTTCTCCATTTTCTAAAAATGTCCCTCCACCTTGGCACAGTGTCACAGTCCCCCTTTGGGTAAAAAAGAGTCAAAGACTCCTCATTTTAACCCATCAACATTGTTGCCTCATCAGCCTAAAGATTTGCTTCAGGGCAACCTACATGACTGTCTGTCTGCTGGAAACACTTCCATGACATTTCCAACATCTTGGAAAAGAGTTAAGGTTTCCCATTCAGCAAGGCAGAAGGGCCAAACTTGTGCAAGTTGAAGACAGAAAAAAATACAACAGACCTAAACATTTACCTTTTCAAGCAGTTCCTGTACTTCTGCCTCAGTTGGGAAGCAGCCCAGTGACCTGACAATGCAACCAATCTCCCTGGAAGAGAAGAGAAGAGAAGAGAAGAGAAGAGAAGAGAAGAGAAGAGAAGAGAAGAGAAGAGAAGAGAAGAGAAGAGAAGAGAAGAGAAGAGAAGAGAAGAGAAGAGAAGAGAAGAGAAGAGAAGAGAAGAGAAGAGAAGAGAAGAGAAGAAGAGGAGAAAAGGAAAAAGAAAAAAGAAAAAAGAAAGAAAGAGAAAAAGAAAGAGAGAAAGAGAGAAAGAGAGAAAGAGAGAAAGAGAGAAAGAAAGAAAGAAAGAAAGAAAGAAAGAAAGAAAGAAAGAAAGAAAGAAAGAAAGAAAGAAAGAAAGAAAGAAAGAAAGAAAGAAAGAAAGAAAGAAAGAAAGAAAGAAAAGAAATATCTTTGTTAATAAGTCTGCAACACAAGACTGTTGACAATACAGATACCAATTCAGAGCTTGCATATAGGAGTGTGCACATAAAAGCACACAAGAAAATCTATGTGGAATTTTAAGATGATGTCTCAATAAGCAATGTCTACTTTTTCAGACGTAAAATATTCTGAAGCTCCTTGAAATTGTTCTTGCAATTTCCCCAAAAAATTCTTTACTATTGTGTTGCACTGTACTGTGTGCAAGTTACTTTTACATTGCTGTTCTCTAACTGTAATGCTTATTTTCAGTAACGCCCATATAGATGTAATTAACAAATCACTTGGAAATCTACTGAAATGTGAAGTAACAAATAAAATACATACTTCCATTAAATGCTATAAAGATACAAATTCTAACTGCATTAAAGAACAATTACAAAAGGTGAGGCAGAAGGCAGCCCTGCTATGTCCACGCTGTGCTTTCAGAGAGTCAAACAGAGCAACAAAGTGGCTTATCACCACTCTGTTTATGCTGTAAATATATTCATAGCTTGCATTTACTGCGAAACCTGGTGCAGCTGTTCTGAGGCTCTAAATAAAATTCCATCAAACCAGCAATGCCTCAAAGATGAACAAAGTCTAGGATGAACAACATCACAGACTAGAAACAAATTATTGTAAGGCTGTAATAAAGCTTCAATTATAGTATGATTAAAAACAAAATAACAGAAGCATTAATATAGTTTATGATTTACAATTCAATTCAACAACACAGAAATTTAAGAACATTTGAATATCTATTCACAGTGCTGGTGGTTCCCATGATCCAAACCTCTGTGGTTCCTTCCTCTTGACCAGTGGTAAATTTTTTCCAATTTGTGCAAAAACCAGATTGCCTAATAAAAATGGTAGATAAAAGGAGGAATGATCTTTGTAAAATCTTCTTACAACAGTAAGGCCCTGAATGCAGCACAACAAGCATATGCAAAATTATATGCATAAGTCTATGACCTCCTCAGACAGGTCCCAAAGAGTTCCCATTCTGACTGAAAAGATGTGAGAAGCACTACAACAGACAAAAGAGATAAAAAGGCTGGCTGCACAAAACTAGTTACAGAGCAAAACCCAGCTCCACACATCCATGTGTTCTGAAATGAAGCCATCTGCTCAAATGACCCTGCCCCTGTGGGTGTGAATGGCCAATGGCCTCAGGGAGGTCAGTCATTTAGACATAATCCTTGTCCATACATCATACTTCTAGTATGTATAATATTGCATTTGTTGTTCTCACTCCTGCACTCCCTCATATTTTCCAGCTACTTGTAACTATTCCCTGCCTCCACCAGAGCCACATCCAACACAAATCCTGCCTCCTTGTTGTCCCACACTATTTCTGCTCTCACAGACTGCCAGGGATGGGAATGCTGCCATCATCCTCCTGCCTCACTTCACTCACACCCAGCAGAACTGTGATGTGACTGAGGTAAGTCAGACCCTAGAAGAGTCTGCAAAATCTGGCACTGCTGGATGCTCTATCTGGCTCTCTGCCTGCATGCCAGCACGAGGATGTTGCTTGAAGTGCTTCTGGTAAAAAAAGTCAGGACCCATTTGGTAATAACATGGAGTTAAAAGAACCTGATAGGAAACTATTTTGCTCCAAGTCCCTTCCTCTCAGTTCAGCAGCTGCATTTTCTGCTGTGTAGTTACTAGAAAAAATGATCATTAAAATCAAGGTTATGATCATACAAGTTTTGTAACACAGATGCAATGAAAATTTTGGGTCATGGTTTTCACATTGCATATAACACTTTCAATGACAAGATTTGCAATATCAGAAAAGTCCTTGACTGAGGGACATGAGATATGCATGAAAAAACACCATCTTCCTCGTGCTTAATTTCTTACTAATTTGTACTAGGAGTCATGGAATACCAGTGTTGGCCTGTCAAACCAGTATCATTTTTCATTCTTCACGGATATCTGATATTTCAGGCATTAATACTGATACAGCTACAATTCTGGTTAAGAATTGTGCTGTGCTGCCACCTTCTGATACAAGATAATCAGCCATTAATAATCCCATTTGTGATACAGCCCTGCAATATGAACCTGGAAATAATTAGACAATAAGTTTTTGTTCATTGTCTGTATCTGTACTACAAAAAAATTAATGCAAAATTGTGCATTTACTACACTAAATAGACTTTTGGGTGTCCCCTGTCTGAATGAATACATTTTTAAAAGAGTCCACTTGTATCATTTCATTGTTGTAACATGCTCCCAAGCTGTATACCCATATATAATGGAGTGAGAAGTGGAGAGAGTTCTAGAGCTGTTTAGCCAAGAGTGCAGATGTAAATGCCAAACAAACAAGCAGTGAGTATGCCATGGTGCAGTGAGGGCTGGGGTGGAACTGGTGGGGCTCTGCCCCGGGCTGGGCAGCCAGGGCCCATCCTACTGCCCAGCCAGGAGCAGGGCACCAGGGGCATCAGGCTCCTCCCTGGGCACAGACCAAGAGATTTAAGAGATCACTCTCCCTACAGAGCCCTATGGACAAGGGAACAGCAACTCTACTGAGTATGGAGACATATCCTGATATTCTCCCCATCGGGTATAGCTGAAAAACCATTACTTCTATGAAATACCTGCAATTTCTTAAATTTAGAGTCATTAGTAAGCATGCATTGCTACAAGCATCACATAAATATTTTGCACCTCCCTTTCATCTCTGTAACGTAGAAAAGCTGTTTGGAAGATTTAAATATGTTTTTTAATTTGTCTTCATGCAGAATGTCTAATGACAACAATTTCACCAGTTCTCACAGTCCATTGTAGCATTTCTACTCAATAACTGATTTATAATTAAAAGGATATTCTTTTGGAAATAGTAATTGTAAATATGAAAAACTACTCCAGTAAACTTTCATGACAACAGCTTATAACCTCAGAACCTGTTCCCTGAGATATAAACATGAGGTTTATGCATTTTATAACAAAAGTTATACAAGTAAGAATGTTTATTTTAAAATTAAGTTCAAGTAGCACTGTCAAATATTCAAACTTTAAAAATACCAGAATTAAAAGCATCCAGGAATTTTTAGGCATCCATCCACCCACTACAAACATACTTGTCCAAACAGGGCCAAAAGAACTGCTTCTATTACATTTTCTGGTAAAGCAGATGCCAGTTTAGGAGCTGTTTATCTCTATTGAGATTCTGTAATATATTTGTGAATACATTTACAAACCTGACATCCACAGTTTTATTGGATTCACGGTCAAACACCTCAAAAGCTTCTGTAATCTTTTTCTCAATTTCAGCTACTAGGCCATCTGCAAAAAGAAACATAAGAAAAAGAATGATTCACTGAGCTGTTACAACTAATATATTTCCAATTTGAGACTTATGACAGCAGAAACACCAAAACTGATAAAGAGCAGACAGGAAAGGTACTTTGAAAAAGCAGAAGTTATGAGAAATCTCCATTCTAAATGCAGGATCTGTCATTTATATTAGTAATATTGCCTTGCTATGGCTCTGTAGCAACATCAAGTCTGCTGGCAATGGTATGCCTCAGCTGTATGAACACACAGCTCAGGTGTGGATCCTGCCCAGAGTGTGCTACAGCTCACTCTGGACCACAAGCCTGAGCCCTTCCTGGCTGCCACTGGGCCAGTGGAAGGAGCAAAGCAAACATTGGCCCATGATTGCCCTGAGATGGGGCTGAGTCACTTCATCCAGGCTCCTGCATCCAGGAAAACATAAGTGCTCTCATGTCCACTCAGTTAGTCATAATGTATGAAAAGCTGAGAACCAGGGACAAAGAGATAAGATGTATAAGGTCTGTGCACAGTGAATATGGCTCATGGTAAATAATTCATAGCAAGAGTTTGGAAAGGAAGGACAATCTCAGCAAAGGAGAAGGAGTAATTTGCTGCATTTGCTTTTTATATCTCAATCTCAAAGAATGGGGAAAGCAGAACCACAAGTTATCACAGATATATGTCACATAAGCCAGAAATTGCATTCTTGGGGCAAGCTAAGAACCAGGAAATAAATTCTGAAGAAAAAAATATAAGGAGGGGAATGGATCTATCTCAAAAGGAAATCTCCCTGGCAAGAAAGCCAGGGTAAAAAAAAATAGTAAACTGGTAGCCCATTTATTAGTTTGACTCCAAATGACAGAATATAAGAAGCAAAGTGACATGAAGTTGACTTCTTGGTCCCTGTGGCTAAACACGGCCCCAAACTCTGTTTTGCAAACCAGTTCCCAGGAGGCAGCATTTCTTAAGCTAGCCCCCAAGCCTCCACAGAGATTCCAGAGGGAAAATCTGAATGACAGCCAAATTGAGATTGGTATGAGGGACACTTGTTTTCTCATTTTCATACTTGTCTTCTGTATTTTCAATAGAATAAGTAAAACAAAGCTCTCCTCTAGTAGACAATACATTTCCTTCTTTAGCTGATGTGGTGTTAAGTGCTGTTGAGCAGCTCAGGCCAAAATTAAGTCACCAGATCTGTTTTCTTACAGGCATAATAAATTCAATACCTAGTTTTCTACAATCCCAATAGTTTGGGAACCCCTGGGACTGTATTGTGCATTAACTTTTTTCATTTGCTTTCTTGCCCTCATGACAGAAATGTCATTTTGCTGACAAAGGGTATCAGAACTGAACATAGCTGAATGATACATTGGCTTTGTGAACTCCCTCTCTTTATCTTGACTCATGAGCTTTTTCATTGTGTTTTTTCCTCCTGTGCAGTTGAGGAGGGCAGAGAGAGGCTGCATAGGGTGCCTGGCCAAAGCCAGCCCATCCCAGGCTACAAGCACTTCAATACAGTGGACTGACCCAGATATGAGGAAGCTCTTCTGCAAGTAGGAGAGGTACATCCCCTCTGAGAGCTACAGCTGCCCACTGCTTTCCATCTGTAGTTGGTACTGAAGTCCTCAGAGGATTCCTCTCCCTGACTTTATGCCCCTGATGGAAGCATGGGCAGGTATGTGTGTGATGGATTGGAGACTGGAGCTCACTGAGGATGAGGAGCCCCATGCAGTCCCCAGGCACAGGACAAACTGTATTCTTTTCACAGCCTGACAATAATGCCTACCTCTTCTCTGCCTATGCGCCAGTAAAATCCACATTTAATTACTAAAAAAAAAAAACCAACCCCACAGTTAAATCTAAGTGGACCTTGTGGAAAAGTCCCTAAAGACTCTCAAAGTACTAAATTCTATGGGGTTTTGTTTACTGGTTATTTCAAAGAGTCTTGCATCATGTCTCCCATGTAGACTCAGATTTAGTTCTTGACATCAGGCACTTCAATTGTACACTACAACTTGCAATAGAGAAACATTGAAGGAATATTTATAGCTATATATTCTTGGCATGATGTATGAGACTTCAATAGAAATAAAAATTAGCCAAGAGAAGGCAGGGAGAGATTTTAAGTGCGGGTACTCTGCAAGCATCCAGCCTTTGCAAGCTCTTTTCCATGAGGACAGTACACTTTAATCTTACCTTCTGAAGAGGCCTGATAAAGAAAAGTCCTGAAATGAGATGAACCTGATTTAACCTAGGTACCAGATAATCTATATCTCTTCCAAGAACTGAGAGGAAGTTGTGACTAAGAGCCATATCCCTGGGAGAAAACATAAAATACTGTTGTCCTCTCAAAGACTCTCTGTGAGATGAGTAAATATGTAATAAGCTATTGGCTAAATTTGTTGTCTTCCCTCCAGGAATGAAAGCCAAAGATGTTCAACATAGTTCAGGCTGGCAAGGCTGTTTATCTGAAAAATTCTACAATTCACTCTAAACCTCTCTTTGTGAGGGAAAAGTACACGGATTCCAACTCCAGGATAAGAAATTGGTAAAGTTTTAAAATTGTCTATTCAAGAGGGGCATCAAGAGATCAGACACATAGTTAATTCAGTGGATGTGGTGCTTTAATGTACTGAAATCGTTCTTTACAAGAAGACTCTCCACCACGGGTAGATCAATGAAAGTTTCATGGACAATGTTCTCGCAGTTTTTCAGAACAGAAATACCTACATTCTGACAGAAGAAGATTTCACTCATTTATTCTACTAACTAAAAAACAATATACAGTGTCAAGGATGGAATTACCTCACTTTCTGTAATGGTTTAAATAAATAAGCATTGAAATATAGCATGCCAAAAAGGATTCCAATAGCTACATCTATTTATTCCTTCAAAGAAATCCTGTAGGTATGATGTATTATTTCCATTTTTATGCTGTTAAAATGCTTGAGATACTTATCAATGTTGTCCCATCCTAATTTATTTTCCTACCACATATGCAATAAGAACAAAAAATGTCTTAAAATCTATTTCTCAGATACATTAACTGAAAATGTATTCACTATCAAGTTTTCTTTCCTATAACATCCTTTACTACTTTCCCATTTTGTTTAGTGTGAACTAGATAAACCTCTCGATATTGCCAGTTAAGTAAGACTGACAGAGAGCTGGGACTCCCAAGTTAATTCTGATGGTTCTTGCAGAATGAATTGTCCCTCTTCAGCTTGTCCAGACTATTCCCCAGCACACTGAGGCCCATTTGAAGCCAGCTCTTAAGCAGAATACCTGCTTCAGTTGTGACATTTCTTCTCCAAAAAACACATTTTTAGCCTTTGTAGGGAACAGAAACCATTTAGCTAGATGTGGCTCTGCCAGACTCTTGAGTAATGAGAATTTTAGAAAGGGATTTCTAGTTGATACAATTTGCTATATTCTACCATTCACTTAATGTATTAGCTTGCTTTCTTTCCTTCCTAGGGGTCAGTTGCTCTGATGGTTCAGAAAGCCTGCCCTTTCTTTCACTAAAGAGAAAAAATTTGTTATCATAAGAGGTATTCCTTATAAGATAAGAGCATTAAACAACCACTAAAATGCTGGGAGCAGCACCTGTCTGTTGCTCACAGGAAAAGATTTAGTCCCAATGCATCCTGATGAACTATTTACACTATGAAATACTTTTAAACTCTTTTTATGTTACTTAAAAGAGTAAAATTAAGGCTTGATTTGTAGAAGTACTGGTGGACTTGATTTTATTACTTCATGTTACTGCACACACCTGGAACATTAGTCTTTATAAACATTAATTTAGGTGTGTTTTAATAAATACACCTATTGTGTGTCAATTTTATATTTAAGCTCTCATATGTATGTGGATATCTTATGAATTATTAATTACTCCATCCTCTTTCCATAGTACTATGCTGTGGCTACAGGCAGGTGTGAGAAAATCCCTGAGGTCTCTGCCAACAGGAACCCTTTCTCATGTGGAACTTGTCAGTCTGAAGGGACAAGGGACACAACCAGGCAACCCCAACTCAGTGACAGTTTCAGAGTCATTTACATGTTGTTATTTCAGTGTTATTTAAAGCACTGTTATCAACAGGTCTTTGGTAGATTTCCCCATCCAGTAACTAGGGCTTATCAGCTGAAAGTACAAAATCCTATCAGTGGCTTTATACTCCAGCACCATTCCTTCTCTTTTTCACTAGCCATTATTTCAACCAAAAAAGTAGACAGCAACCTTGGTCCTGTCAGCTGAACTGAGAATGAGATACAAAGATTGCCATGAAGAAAAAGGAACATTCTTAAGAAGGTAATGGAGAGGATGTGATTGTGCAGGCAGCCACATGAAAAACTGTGCACCTTTAAATCCACTGCAATCTGCTCTCAGCTTCTGTCAGCATTCTATTTCTGCTCACAGATACAACTTATTGTTTTTAACCACTCTCTCTACTCTACTCCAACACTTCCATAAGACTCCTATGACCACTCTTGGCATGCTTTTAGGATGAAGGAGACGAACTAAAAACCAAAACAGATTTGCCTTTGATGTTTGCAGACACTGTTTCACATGACCTCTCCCAGAATCCTTCCCAAAACCACAAACGGAAATAGGGGCATAAGAATTGGGGGGGAGGGTTGGGGGGGGGGGGCGGGAGGGATGGTGGGAACAAAACCAAAAACAAACAAACAAACACATCCAAAACTAACAGTAGTTCTAATGAGAAGAAAGGTACCATGCATATTTTCTCAAATATAAAGAATAAAAACAGCAAGAGACTTAAGAGACTTCACAATGCAAACTCTGAGGAGGTTATCAATGAGCTCTTATGAGCTCTAATCAGGCTTTTAACCAAGTTCTAACTGGACCATCACCTCGGTCAAGATATTCAAAAGCTGTCACAATACTCAACATCACCTGTACAGGTGAATTCTCAAACACTCTCAAATAAGCTCATCAGTTTTATCAAGGCATTGTGTCTCCAGAATAAAAAGGGAAAGCCATCATG